TGAGCTTACTGCTGCGGTGATGGCGGCATGGAAATCAGTAACGATGAAAGAGCTACCTGATCTAATGGACAGCATGCCAATCAGATGCTTCGAGGTCGGGCGCAAGAACGGTGACGCGATCTCTTACTAGGTCTTTAGTGAAATCAAGTCAAACTTTTGTCCCAAAGCTTTGTCGCGGTGGCATTTCCAGATCATTGTATGCCAGCCACCTGTAGCTCTCTGAAATTTAGGTCAGCGTCACAAGTCTCGTGTCGTCCTATCAAACAGCAGAAACATATCTAAATAGCACCGTCTAAGTCTACCTACAAGCCGAGCAGTGGCTCAAAACGTGACTGTCCCAAACGTTTTGTCGCTGAGTGTAGGGTTGTTACACAAACATATGATGGAGAAGCAATTAGAGCAAGACGTTTACATGCATCAAATACATAAAACGCCACAGAAATGGGAATCATGATATGATTTTTGTGCGGGTATTAGCACTTGCGTCGCTTAGTGTGAGTACAAGAAGCACGATGCGTACTTTATTGCTGAACTGGTAGTATGGCTATCATAGATACGCTCAAAGAGAATCACTGCATTCTCTCGGCTGCCACCAGCTCTAGAGGTTTCTTCAAAATGCATGTTGGTCGTGGGCCATTGGTGTGTGCTTCCAATAGTAAACAATGATGGATCAGTGCTGCAGTCGTCAGGATTAACGTTCTCAGGGTATGACGTTGTAGTACGGCGATCATAGTGATTTCTGTTTTCAAAGTGCATCTGGGCAAATTCAAATTCAAATCGTTGATCGTGTGGTGTATGATCCGTATTGTCGTTTTCACTGAACCCGACTTGTTCTTCAAGTCCATCGTTCAAATTCAGTGGGCTCAAACTAAAAAATCCCCTGGTGAATCTGGAAAAGTCCTTGGAATGAAAATGCTATTTTGTAATTCTCTGTTCTGCTCGGCTGAAGGGCAACGCAGCCATGGGCTGTACACTTGCCTGCGATCAGCCGTTTGTGCAGTGTCTTCATTTCCCTGTAGATTAGGAGATGAGAGGCTCGATCACGTTGACGGCGGCTTCCATGTCCGTCTTGCTTCTGTTCTGCGTTATCTTCCTACACTAACAATCTTTCGTTCTCGATCAAACATCCCGGGGCACGGAAGTCTTAATTCCTGTGTAGCGTGAATTATATCAAACACCCCAAATTTTCCACTAAAACGACAGTCACATGTACGAAAAACAGCGTTAATGAGCCATTCATTATCCGGTATACTGTGCTGTTTTATATACAATATATGAATTGACTTGTAAGGTAATTTTTGGCTATTTGGCTTCACGAAAAAAGTATCGGTCGAGCTGATATCTGTATCACCATACCGTCTTTTTGGAATATGTTGTATTTGGACTAGTGGGGCTGGAACCCCATCAGCTGCAGCAAGCAATGACGTAGAAACTCTCCCTTCCTTAATGTCAAAAAGTACAGGTCTTTTAATCACTGTGAAACATAAGGGGTGCTCTTGAAAGTAGCCTTGGAGTTAGCAAAAACGACGCGCGACTGTGCTAATTTGTTTTAGCATTTCGATCGGTGCAGCTTTCTTAGACTTGTTTATTAGCTTGAGTGTTTTTATGATACTGCTCTGAGAGGTTATTCGTGGCCGCGTACTCCGGAGGTGTGTGGAAAACTTGCCACTTGCTTAACCGACGGTGCAATATCCCCTGAGATATATTATGATCTGCTATTTTACGAAAGGATCACAAAAAGCTGATGCTTCGCGCCACGAAGCTAGAATGGATGACCTTTTTCTCAAGTGTTCATCCTCATTTCAAGCATAATGCAGGTTATTCTGGTCGCGAAATATAATGTCTATAGCCACGCGCTCCAACTAGATCAATATTTCACATTTTGAAACATGTAAAACCAGCACATCAAGAACTTATCCTCCTCTTCATCGCCACTGTCACTGTCCTCGCTGTCCTCACTGGAAGACGAGAACGAGTCATCTCCGCCTCCGAGCGCGTCCGACAAGCGAATACTCAGACTCGGAGGCATCGGTGGTCTCGGATTCAACGTCCCACAGACGCCGCAGACGCCGCAGACGCGCATGGCCGCGGGGTTCACCATAGTACAGGCTGCACAACTCCAGTCCAAGGAGGCGGTTCCGAGTTCACGGGGGGGGGCGGACGGTGACGGATTCGGGGTCTCGCACATCTCGCAGAAGCAGCGCGACGCCTCGTCCTGCTCTCTTCGATCTCACCTTCAGGATGATGCAGTAGTACTTGAGCGAGTTGTAGGGATGGAGTCAATGGCGTGAGGGGTGTTGGCGGGGAGGCTAACGTTCTCTGGGCCATCTCCAGCGATCGTGCTGCATCAACGCGCATCCGATAGCAAAGTCGGATGCGTCACACACGACGTGGAACGGGCGGTCTTGGTCAGCCACTGCCAAGATCGGTGCCTTAGTCAAGCCCTGCTTGACTACATCAAAGGCCACTTTACACGCGTTGAATTGTGCGTTATCTGCGTCAGATATCACGAAATCCGGCTAAAAAGCAACCTCTCGAATAATCCACTTTGTATACGCAGTGCACCACTCTACATCGTTTGCGACGTACAGAAGAAAATCATAGGAAAGAACTTGCCCCGAGAATCTGAGAATCCAAATACGAACACAATGAATTTTGCTTGACCATACTAGTGGTGCTGTCGATATGGAGTATTACTGTACAGGGTGGATCGCTTTGCACTTCAACATACGTTTCTAGTAATGAATACCAAGTGACGCCAACGCGAAATGGGAGTGGAGCAGACCCGTCCCCCACGGTAGGAGCCAAAATGTTGTCGTCGTGCCGGGAGTCAAAGCGTATTATCATTCTCTTGGGGTCGTCAGGTATATTTTCCAAATTGTCAAGCATATACTGGTCACAAAGGTAAATCACTGGCTGAACTGCATCTCTCTTGTGAGCCTTGCATTATTTCTTGGTGTGGCTCTCTCCTTGACTAAAGAGCGGCGGAGGACCTCCGAGCGTAAGACGAGATATTTTCTTGCAAATAATACCAAACAGAGCCACAGGGGTGATCGATGCGTCTTCGGCGAGTCGCTCGTC